GACCAACATGAATTTGACACAACTCCGGGAGGCAGTGGAAGACAGGAGGGCCTGGCATGCTCTGGTCCATGGGGTCACAAAGAGTCGGACACGACTAAAGGACGATCCCTTCATGGGTGTATGTGTGTGCATCCTTACTTTTGTACAGCCTCTGGCTCTGCCTGTTTCTTCCTACTATTGACTCTGATGCCTTCCACCCATCTTCCATAATGGGCACCAGCCATTCTAACAGCAACAACAGATTGTGATCAGGACCTCAGGGTTTTTTAATATCATGTTTATGTGTGACCAAAGTATCAAAAACTGTGTGGGAACTAGAACATCCTAACCCTCAAAAAGGCTTGTAAGTGTCTTCATTCACCCATTGTCTCTTACTTCTTTGATAAATCCCTTTTTATACATTTTATGATTTCTTGGTTTTTGTTCTTGTTTTTCTTCACTTTATGACAACTTTATTGGTTATTTTCTAAATCCCATCCATTCTTGCATCCTGCAATAAATACCTGCGCTGAAGTCCATAATACAGTAGAACTAAGAATACACAGCAGCAAGCAATGTACATTCTCAAAGTCAATTTTACATTATTGGCTGCAATCCTATTGGTGTTTTCAGAGGGATTGCATAATTTGACATGGTTGACAACTGATACGTTTCCAGAATATGTACCAGGTACATGATTGGGTACATGACCAGGCATGTGACTGATAGCAGCCAGCACTTTGTCAATTAGCGATAATTAACAATGACAAGTTAAATAATTCCACCACAAACACCAAGGAGATTCTAGCCTTTGCTTGATATTGTATTCTTTATCTTACAGAAGCTGATGCAGGCCATCCCCATTTGGACTTTAATTGCATGGTTTTGATCTCACTTTTCATTCAGCCACTTTCCAGGGCACTTGTATTCGCCATATTTTACCATACTTTAAGTTTGGAACATTCACTGCTTTTCTTGAGCTGCTTCCTTTTTACCAGTTACCATGAACTTGGTTTTCCTAACATTCAATTTGAAATTATGTTCATTGCTGACCTCATTGAGAGGGACGTGGTGGCACCGCGGGTTAAACCACAGAAGCCTCTGTGCTGCAAGGTCAGAAGACCAGCAGTCGTAAGATCAGATCCACATGACAGAGTGAGTCCCATCACTTGTCCCAGCTCCTGCCAACCTAGTAGTGTAAAAATGTAAAAATGTGAGTAGATAAATAGGTACCACCTTGGTGGAAAGGTAATGGTGTTCTGTGTCTAGTTACACTGGCCACAAACTGTCTATGAACAAGCGCTGGCTCTGTGGTTTGGAAACAGGGATGAGCACCACCCCCTAGAGTTGGAACCTTTACCTTACTGACCTCACCAACTTTACAGAGTAACACTTGTTGATCTTTATCATTTTTGTGTTGGATGTTGTGGATAGCTGCTCCACTGCCAATGATATACTATAATTGTTTGTATCAGTGAATGCTTCTCTATGTGTTACCTTGGAGTACAAATTGAAATGTACAGTGGTGGTAAGAGTATGCATCCATGTACCCTCTAGTGTTACCTTGGAGTACAAATTGAAAAGTAGTGGTAAGAGTATGCATCCATGTACCCTCTTTGTATCTCTATGGTCTTATAAATTAGGCATTATGCATGCTGATTCTATGAACATCATTAGAGGAGAACACATGGCCTTGCCACCTTTGACATCATATTCTAGCTGTCAAGCGCTAACAACATTCAGTGCTGAGTCTCAAGAGGGGAAAGCCAAGTCTCAATCTGTTCGTGTTTAAGACCTACGTGTGTGCAACAACCCAAATTGTACAGCTGGTGGGGCTAGATATTTCCCTCTAAACATGTTCATAATGCCCAGTTGAATCATGCCTGAATAGGGCTAAGCTCTGCTGTCATCTGATCTTCAGTTTGCACTTCCATGATCACAAAGTAACAAAATATTTACTTACAGTTGTTAACCCAATCTTACATAATAGTCACAAAGTAACTAAGTATTTACTTACAGTTGTTAACCCAATTTTACATAATACTAAAAGATATAATACAATAAAACTGCCATGATTAGTTGTTAGTACTATTATAATCACACTCATAGAATCATGGAATCATGAAGTTGTAAGGGGCCTATAAGGCCATCGAGTTCAAACCTCTGCTCAGTGCAGGAACTTGACAGTAATTATATAAATATTTCATGATTTGAGATCTCTGTTTACCAACTACTCCATCATTTTGCCACATTGGACATTATCAAATCATCTCCTGTAGTCATTAAATCAACTATACTGTATAATAAAACTAATAATGATGTGTTGTCAAGTTACTTCCAACTTATGGCAACCTTTCTGAGAGTTTTCTAGGTGCAGAGTACTTAGAAGTGACTTGCCATGTCTTTCTCTAGGGGAGGGGAGGGGGTTCTGGAACTGTATAGGCCTATAGATGTGACATTATACATGCTGATTCTAGTCGCAGTGGGGAATTTAACTCCAAACCTCTGGTTCTGCAGCCAGGTACTCAACTTATGAAGTTATCCAGCCACCTAGGACAACAATAAATGTCCACTTTCATTTTTCAGCATCTCTCCCCAAGAACCTCAATAAAGAATACTGCATCCCTAATTCCAAATTTTTCCTAAATCTAAATTGTGTGTCTTCTGCCCCTTCTTTACACATCTTATAAATTCTCCCTTTTGTTGTCATCAAGAAAATGTCTACTTAAGTATATTTTTCTATATTCACTGCAAGGTTTGGCATTTTCTCTTTATGGTAATATAATAATGGTCATTTTTGACAAGATTTCAGGACTGATCCTTGTTCTGTAGATCTGAATGAAAGTATGCAAATCATATTATATTGCCTTCATGACATTACTGAGGGTTTTAAAATGGCATAAGATGTTAAAGGTATAAATATACCGTATTTGCTGGTGTATAAGGCGACTGGGCATATAAGACGACCCCCCCCCAACATTTCCACTCAAAATGTAGAGTTTGTGACATACTTGCTGTATAAGACTACCCCCTCTTCCGCATGCGTGATTCTACTTTGGCTGCATCATGGGGAGAGTTCGTTTTGCCGCTTTTGGTTCCTTTCGCTGGGAGAGAGCGAGGGTTTGCTGGAAGAAGGACAGCATCGGCGCCGAACAGCTAACTGTTGGGAACCAGAAGAGAGGCGGCAGCCATTTTGAGAGGCAGCAGCCATGTGGTCATCTCAAAATGGCTGCCGCCTCTCTGCTGGTTCCCGACAGTCAACTGTTCGGCGCTAGAGTCAGGCTGTTCCCAGGCTACCAAGGAGGAGTGGGCTAGGTCTACTCAGTCTTACTACCAGGTAAGTGACTTCGCTGGGACAGAGGGGGGGCTTGCTGGAAGTGCACCTGGTGTATAAGACGACCCCCCCACTTGGAGGCATGTTTTTCAGGGCCAAAAAGTCATCTTGAACACCGGCAAATATGGTAATTATTTTGTTGAACTCTTGTATATTGATCAGTGATTATCTTTGCATGGTTGTACTCCAGTTACTATAACAGTTTGGTCACAACTTTAAATTTGGCTGTTTGCATGATTACAGGTAGGATAGGATGTGGCTCATCTCTTAATTACAGGTTTTGCTGAAATGGTGCAAAATGTTTGGGGAATTAAGTGAGAAAAAGCTACCTAATGCAATTAGCTCTAGTTCAGTTAAGACTGTTAAGATTTAGAGAATGGCTCCTTTATCTACGGATTCTAGTATAGTGTTGTTCTATCATCAAAGTTTCACCCTGAACTAATCAAAAAGCTTCAGCATTTATTCACATTCATAACATGATGACCAGCCTTCCCCTTATTGGAGAGCATCAATTTAGGTTACAGTGAAATATCATCATTTCATAATTGTGTCTTCTGTTGTGACTCTGGCTTCGTAGGCAATCTAGTTTTGTTGTATGGTAGCCTTAGGGAAGAATGCATTGATATCCAGGCTTGTGAATCAAAACACTGTACCTGTAATCAATAAAATTGAATTTTATCTTCTAGCTTTTTGTGGTCTGGATATCTGTTCCTGAACAGACCCATTGATTCACTGAGCTTTATATAAATGTTGAATCACCATTCAGCAGTTAATTCAATGGCTTTACTTTAGTTGGAACTAGCAATTGGATTTAGACCATGGTCTTTCACCTTTGATAATCCTTCAGTTCTCTAGGGCAGTATCCAACCCTCCAGCCATTAGCTATAACAAGAGGAGAGCTACAGCTCCTGGAATGCACTCTGAGCTTTCCATGGTCCTGAATGTGCATGTCTTGCTGAATTAACTTTTTGCTTCCGAATCTAACTGTACTTTATGTGGCTTTTCTGACAAATACTTTATTTTGTGCAACATCACTCCAGTTAAGTCTTTTAGCTGGCTGGATAGCTCAATGGTTTACATATCCATTGCAGAGCTAGAAGTTGAGAGTTCAGTTTCCTACCGTGTCTCCTGGGAGAAGAACCAGCCTGTGTAGTCAAAGACAAACTGCACAGTACCAGGATGTCCCCAGAAGAAGAGAAGGGTAAACCATTTCTGACTGTTCTTTTACCTAGGGAATCCTGGAAAGGGTTGCCAAATGTCAGAACTGACTTGACAGCATGCAATGATTATTATTAAAGTCTTCTAGCAGTACACCCCAAACCTTAGATTGCAATGGAATGGCATTGTACTGAACTTGAACTTACCTAAGAACACAGTTTCATCTAGATCATGTTTGTGTAGGCTGGCCTTGTCTATTCTAATTGACAGAGAATCTGCAAGGGGTTCAGGCAAGAACCTTATTGCAGTCCTGCGAAGAAATGTCAAAGATTGAACCTGGGAATTTTTGCATGCAGAAACCTGTCCTCTACTAGTGATTTATGCCCCTTCCCCTTACAATATAGATTAAGCAAAAAATGTGTTACTGTGCAGGATGATTTAGTCTGCCCCTCTTTACCCCCCCCGCCCCGAATCAGTCCCTCCCTGGCAAACCCAAACCCACAGCTGAAACAATGTAAACATTGCTTACCAGCTTTATTAAAATGGTGCTCATTTACTACGGCTTGGGACCCAAATGAGTGTTTCTTTGGTCATACAAGATGTATCCCCGTGTAAGAAACTGCCAGATCTATGAAAGGATCCATTAAAGGAGCATAAAAGGATAGTAAGCATATGTGAGCTTTGGACTGATGTTTTTGAGCAATGTTTGAGTTGCGGAGATGTCCTTGTTAATTATTATACAACTTTTATTAACGGCTTCCTACACAAGAGCCGTGCAAGCATTTTTTTTTCCTTTCTGTTTTGTTTAGTGTGCCCTGCTGTCCTGAGATAAACTCATTTTCAGAATCTGACCCTTGCCCCACCCCCAAAGCACAATTCTTAACTATCTGCTTTCTTTCCTTTATATGAATGTGGGAGACCTGTGGCCAATGTTGCAGTGCATACCTCCTCCTAAAAGGGTCGCTTTGGCTTGGGGCTCCCATTCCTCTGAAGCAGATGATTCCATTCCCTCCAATACATGTTTATGTTTTTCTGTCACCGAGCACATATTCCTCTTTAGTCAGCCTCCCAATTTTAAAATGTTTTTGTTTTCTTCTGCAACTTTTGAGGTGTCTAAAGTATATTCCTATTTGCCTCTTGCTTCTCAGTTGTCCCACCTTGGTTAGAGGTAGCTCATACTACTCAATCTTGCTGTTAGAAAGCATAAACGTCAATGTCTTCATCACTGATGAGGAGTTAAATGGTGGGGTTAGGTTTCAATGGGATCTCTCTGTACATTCAGCTTGATCGTGTTGATTCAGACACAGAATGCATCTGTTGCTGTGGAACAAAGCAATGCCTCCATCTAGTCTTTCTTCTTACAAGCACCTCTCACAAGATCTGCCAGACAGGTTGTGCGGTTCATCCAGGAAAGAGACCCTTGCTCCACTAAAACCCAAATAAATGCAAATAACAACACTGACGTCACTCTCATTGGTCATTAACTGAATCATTGCAGGCATTGCCATTGATCTAGTATCAAAGTCAGATTTCTTGTATGACAGAACAGTGGGGTAGCATTTTACACTGACAGATGGGTTTAGCAGTAGAGTGCAGTTATGTCTTTGCCAGTCTCTTCACCCAGCTCATCCACAATTTAGCTACTTTTGCAGCACTTGCATTTCCAAATAACTATGAACTGAATTTTCTCCCTTTATGTGAATTAGCATGGTAACCATGAGTTATATTCCACCACATTACAAAGAGCAGTATAGTGTAATACTGATTAATACAGTGTGGTATAGAGGAGCTACAGTGAATTGTAACTTTTTTTGGGTCACCTCATCATTTTTTTTATATCCCCACACAATCACACTGAATCATACAGTACAAACCTATCTTTTAACAGAAAATAAAACGAATTGTAATTTTTTTTTGGTCACCTCATCATTTTTTTATATCCCCACAGAATCACACTGAATCATACAAACCTATCTTTTAACAGAAAATAAAATAATTTTGACAGAAAGATGTGGTTAGAAAGTGTAGCAATTTAACATCACATTCCACAAAATCAAATGGTTTCCAAAATGACATTCCTCTCATATGCTCAGGAAGTGCCTAATCATTCTAGGTAAATATTAACCTAATTTAAACAGAGATTGTCTTGTTTAATTTTTGATAAGATGAAATGACAACAGAGCTCCCAGGTCCGTTTTCCAGATGCTGGGCCAACTTATGCAGGCTGGTGGATTATGGGAGCTTTCGCCCAGAAAAATAACTTTTCTGAGTTACAGTCCATTATAGTAAACTCAGGCACTTCATGATTCAGTCTCTTACCCATCACACTACATCACTTCTCCACTGCTGCCAAATTATGCACTTCAAACCTGTCATACTCGCCTCTGTAAAGTCTCTGTGGGTGGTCTGCCCTTGCCTTCTCTGTATCCTCTAAAGCTAATCAAAATACATTTTTTTAAAAAAAGGTTCATCAATATAACAGCAGCTACCTCGGTTATTCTAACAGGTCACACAAACAGGAAGAAAGTCTGTGAATTCTCTTTTAGTGTGGGAGGGATAAATATCTGATAATGCCAATTACCCGAAGGGATCCATTCCTAACAGAGACAGATCAGGCGTCAGGCTCTGCACATGCTAAAATAGAAACAGTACACAACTGGTTGTTTTTCCTAAAGCCTTCTGATCTTTACACTACAAACCATGGATTGTCTCCTTATTTGGTTATAATATTATAACATCATTTTAGAACTGCAGAGGTGGAAGGGACCCTATGGATCATAGAGTATAGCCTCTGTCAAGAAGACACAGTGGGAATCGAACTCCCAGCCTCTGGCTCTGCAGCCAGAGACTTAAACCACTGAGATATCCAACATTTCTATATCAGTGTGCAACAAAGACAATTTTTGTTGTTGTTGTTCAATTGTTAAGTCATGTCCGACTCTTCGTGACCTCATGGACCAGAGCACGCCAGGCCCTCCTGTCTTCCACTACCTCCCGGAGTTGTGTGAATTTCATGTTGGTTGCTTCACAGACACTGTCCAACCATCTCATCCTCGGTCATCCCCTTCTCCTCTTGCCTTCACACTTTCCCAACATCAAAGTCTTTTCCAAGGAGTCTTCTCTTCTCATGAGATGCCCAAAATATTGGAGCCTCAGCTTCAGAATCTGTCCTTCCAGTGAGCACTCAGGTTTGATTTCCTTTAGAATTGCAAGGTTTGTTCTCCTTGCAGTCCAAGGGACTCTCAAGAGTCTCCTCCAGCACCACAATTCAAAAGCATCAATTCTGTGGTGATCGGCCTTCTTTATGGTCCAGCTCTCACTTCCATACATCACTACTTTGATACTAGATCAATGGCAATGCATGCAATGATTCAGTTAATGACCAATGAGAGTGACGTCAGTGTTGTTATTTGCTTTGAATATGCAGACCTTTGTCGGCAAGGTGATGTCTCTGCTTTTTAAGATGCTGTCAAGGTTTGTCATCGCTTCCCTCCCAAGAAGCAGGTGTCTTTTAATTTTGTGGCTGCTGTCACCATCTGCAGTGATCATGGAGCCCAAGAAAGTAAAATCTGTCACTGCCTCCATATCTTCCCCTTCTATTTGCCAGGAGGTGATGGGACTAGTGGCCAAGATCTTAGTTTTTTTGATGTTGAGCTTCAGACCATTTTTGGCATTCTCCTCTTTCATCCTCATCAAAAGGTTATTTAATTCCCCCCACACACACTTGCTGCCATCAGAGTGGTATCATCTGCATATCTGAGGTTGTTGATATTTCTTCCGGCAATCTTAATTCTGGCTTGAGATTCCTCCAGTCCGGCCTTTCACATGATGTATTCTGCATATAAATTAAATAAGCAGGGGGACAATATACAGCCTTGTCGTACTAACGAAGACGATAACTATGGCCAAGTAGAACGAAAGATGTTGTTCTATTTATTTCATCCGTTTGACGTTCTGTTTTGTTCTCTTGTTTGTTTACTTCCAGCGCAATAACTGCACTGGTCACTGATGGAGCAGAATGAAATTTGATTAATGTGTCGTGGACGCAGCCATACATTTGAAAGCTGAACTGCATCTTTATCCTCACACTCTTTTCCAGTGAGAAAGGAAGATGTCACGTCTTTGTCAATCAAATGTTTGAATGGAGGCCTCTTGGAACTAAAAGTTTAGTTGCTGAGGGAGGTCCCTGACAAGTTTATTTCAGTCAGTTTCTCATAATATTTTGTGATTGGGAATAAATTCATCCCCTTCCCGCCAGCAGTGACAGAGAGAGCCCTCTCTCAAGTCCCCAACAAATGCATCTTTGAGTCTGGTCGGTCCAAGAGATTATGATTTTGAAATCCAGGCAGATTCAAAGAAGGTCTTTTAGGTAGCTTGGACCCAAGTTGTTTAGAGATTTATAGGTTAAAACTTTGTTGTTGCTGTTGTTGTTACATGCCATAAAGTCACCGACATATAGCAACCCTATGAATGAGTGATCCCCAGAATATCCTGTCCTCAACTGCCCTCCTCAGCTCTTGTAAACTCAAGCCTGTCCCTTCCTTTTGGTAGTCGATCCATCTCATATTGGTCTTCCTCTTCTCCTGCTTATCATGTATTCCGGATAATCCTGTCTTCTCATGATGTGCCCAAAACAGAACAGCCTCACTTGCATTCTTTTCATCTCCAGAGATCATTCAGGCATGATTAGATCTAGGACCTAGTCGTTGGTCTTTCTGGCAGTTCAGGGTATCCACAAAGCTCTCTTCTGGCACCGCTTTCTTTACTGTCCAGCTTTCACAACCAGGAATGGGTACAGCTAGCACACTAGTGTTAAGTGTACAACTGCATTGCAGGCCACGACCAAGATATGAGCATCCAGGCTCAGGGACAAATCTAGGAGCACACCCAAACTCTGGATTTGTGTTTTCATTGGGAGTGTAGGCCCATTCAGCACGAGCTGCATCCCTATTCACTGATTTACCCTTCAACTGACCAGGAACACCTCTGTCTTGTCTGGATTAAGCTTCACTTTCATCCAGTCCATGATGGGCATCAGATGTGTACTTAGAACTGAGTTCCACCCTATCTATGTGTTACAAATTATTTCTCTTGTCGTGGCCTTATATCCATTACAATTCCTGGCATTTGGCTAGCTTGTAAAAGCTAAAAGTCACATCACTGTACAATGATTCATAATTCACAGCAACATAAATCTATCTGAAACAGTATACAGGCTATAATTCCTGAAACCATGAAAGCTCTTGATCAGGACTTAATTGGGAAGGCATTTCAGGATTAATTCAAAATGGACTATTGACTAGCAAAGTAGTTCTGGATTTTCGAAGTCTAGCCAAGAAAATGGTTGTTTTACAATAGCCCTCATAAATAATCAGCTAGATTATAAACCACGGCAAGGAGCAGCAGAGTGACTCAGTCTAATTAATGCTGTGACTAATTAGAAGCATCACCATCTTTCCAACATGCCCCCTTCCCTCTACCTTTTTCTCACGACTTATCAGCTCCCGATGTAGTTTGATTTATTGTTAACAGCAAAGAAAAAACTGTGTTATCAGTTTTTCAGTTCTCAAAATATGACAGTTCGGACGTTTAACTGAAATTCACTTCATTACTAAAAAGGAAACTACATGTATAATGAAATCTTTATGACACAAAGATTCAGAGGTATAAATAATATGAACACTGTGCTTTATGATACAATATACAGTACATCTTGAATGGCTGAAAAAATTATAGATATAGTGATAATAAAAAGATCTGGAGATGTTTAAATGGAAAACTATTTATGAACACAGTCTGCAGTTCAATCACAAATATGTTTATTCAGAAATGGCAGTGATCTCAGTGACTGTCATTCCTTAAAAAATGCATAAGATTTCAGCTTTATTGTTGGTGTTCCTCTACCTAGTTATACAGCTAATAACATTAAGAATAATATAGAGAGGCAGGAGGCAAACCACGAGTAACAGAGAAGGAGCCAACTAAAATGAAGCAAATCAGATTAGTTTTCACAAAACGGTTTAGTAATATTGTAACTCATGTTTTTAGAAGCCCCCATCAAAGGGAAGGGCATGTTTTGCGCAGTTAACCCATCAAAAGCGAAGGGTTTCAGACAAATTATGAAAATCCGCCCAATCAGATGGAAAAAGAGAGAGAGAGAGAGAGAGAGAGACAAATTACGAAAATCCGCCCAATCAGATGGAAAAGAGAGAGAGAGAGAGAGAGGCCAAAAGGGGACAGGGCTTCTTCGGCCGCGGTGGCCGCTGCGCGCACGGAGCTGTCCAAGGCGGGCGGGCAAGCGGCGGGAAACCCCGGGCGGGGCACTCGAGCGGGGTGTCCCCTTTAAGAGGAACGGGGGGCTCTCTCTCCAGCCTCGCGGCGAAAATCCGCCCAATCAGATGGAAAAGAGAGAGAGAGAGAGAGAGGCCAAAAGGGGACAGGGCTTCTTCGGCCGCGGTGGCCGCTGCGCGCACGGAGCTGTCCAAGGCGGGCGGGCAAGCGGCGGGAAACCCCGGGCGGGGCACTCGAGCGGGGTGTCCCCTTTAAGAGGAACGGGGGGCTCTCTCTCCAGCCTCGCGGCCCCCTAGAGGGCTGTCCAGTTCGTGCGCTCCGAGTCACCTGACTCGGAAGAAGCCACAAACCTGCGCGGCCCCCGTGAGCAGCAGCGAGCAAGACGAGCTCGCCGACAAGCCAAAGAGGCAGCGAGGTGCGTGCGGGGTCTTCCGCCGTCTCTCCGCGCACCCTCCTCCTCCTCGCGCTGCTCCCAGCCCTGGATACTCCAGGGAAGGCTGGCGGCCGCCCGGGTAGAATCTGTGGCTGCTTGGCTTACTAGATTCTGG